TAAAACATTTTTTCTTGCTTAAAATTACCATAAAAGGAAAATTTTTAACAAAACGGATGCGATCAGGAGAAAGTTTTTATAACTGTAATATCTTTATATAATTAGATAATTAATTGTTTTTAAACAATTAGATATTACTTAAAATATAATATAAATTTTGAACTTTTTTTTTCTATATTCTTGGATAGTACTAAGAAGCTTAGATAAGTAAACTACAATTGTTAAATCTTGTATTAAACTCTTTTTAGCAAAGAAAAATATATGTATATTATATTAATAGTTATAAATCTTATAATTGCAAATCTAAAATTATAATAAAAATTAAAGTATAAAAACTGTATTTTTTTTTTAAAAAAAAAATTAATTAATTCAATTAATATTTAATTTTATTATAAGGAATTATTTTGAAATATCTGTTTTTTTTGAAATCAACAAAGAATTAATAAAAAAATTTTAAAAATAAATAATAAATTTTTTGAGCTATTACAAATTTTAAAATATTATTTATTATGATTATATTTTTATTATAATTTGATAAAATAATTAAATATATACCGTATATACTATACAATAATAGCAAAAAAAAATGTTTATTTTTTTATTATATTATGAAAATTTTATTAATACTAATTATTTTACATATAAAAATATAAATTAAAAGTTTGTTTAAACTTTATTTTAATTGTATAAAATAAAATTTCAAGAATCATATTTTATAAAATATTATTGATTGATGAAATTAGAGAATTTAACAAGTAATAATTATTTTATTTAATTCAATAAAAAGTTTTTATTATTCTATACGCGTTGTATTAAAATCAATAATTATGTGCGCAACGTATCAATTTTATTTGTAGTACATATTAATCAACGCACGTACATACACATGCTCGCACTTTGCTTCTTACGCTTTGAAAATGTCGAAAAATTCATCAACTTCGGATCCCAAGCGTCCTAGTAACATTGTTCCATATCATCTTCCAAGGAAAGATGTGGACGAAGTTGACTTAGATTTCTTCGGGGTTGTGTCGCTCTTGTTTAGTAAGTCATGCTGGAACTTACTCGACTTTTCAAATGGTTTGATGAAAACCCATAATAACTTGAATACATTTTTCTTATAGGTACAGTTGGCCTCATAATAAAGGTAATTTAATGTCAAAAATAATGAAATAATTTTTTTTTAATTTTTTTAAAAAACTTATTAAATTTCTATTGAAGATAAAATGGGCTTGTTGGGTAGCATTAGCTTTTTCCATTATTTCTATAACAAATGAAAAAG